CCTGGCCGATGCGTGCGCCCCGACCCCCGCCCGGAGAGAGCAGGGCCCCGGTCTCCTCCGCTTGGGCGGGGCCTCCTTGGAGCTCGCCCCGCTCTCGGAGCCCGCGTCCGAGCTGCTCTCCTCGGTGCGCCCGCGGCGCGCTCCCCCGCCGAGGGGGCTCCGCGCCACGGGGTCCGAGACCGAGCCGCGGCCAAGGCGGGGCAGCGACGAGGCGAAGGAGGGGGAGGAGGAGGAGCGAGGAGGATGAGGACCAGGAGGAGGAGGAGGAGGAGGAGGAGGAGGACGAGGAGTAAGAAGAGGAGGAGGAGGAGGAGGATGATGAGGAGGAGGAGGAGGAGGAGGAGGAGGAGGAGCGAGGAGGGATCGGATCGGATCGGTATGGGGGCCCGCCGTCGGCCCGCAAGGGAAGCACGTGCATGAGACGCACGAGGCGCAGCTCACGTGACAGAAGCCGGAAGGCAAGCGCCCCTGACCCAGGCGGGTGAAAAGCCGTCGGTAGGAAGGCACCAACTATACACCAACACCGATCCTGGCCCAGGATCACCCTGGGCCCAGGATCGGTGTATACGCCCTCCTGCCTTGCGCAAGAAGGCATATACACCGATCCTGGGCCCAGGGTGATCCTGGGCCAGGATCGGTGTTGGTGTATAGTTGGTGCCCTCCGAGTCAGGTGTGTGTCAGGACACCCCCTGCAGCTGGCGGCGACTGCAGCAGTGGAGAGAGCTTCGGAGAAACAGCCGGGGAGAGAAGGCACGGTAGGCTCGAGGGCCCGAGCGGGCAGGCGCCAGCCCAACCAGGAGAGGAGGGAAACGGAAAGGGATGGGAGAAAGCCACAGCTTCTGCAGCATGTAGAAGGCCTGTGACTACGCAGTGAATGACAGGCAGGCAACGCCGAAGCTGCCACTACACTACCCAGCGGCAACACAGCGTACCCACTTCGACAACGCAGAGATAAAGAATCAACGCTAAGCCACACGGGCACGTGCGACTGAGAGGGGCAGCGACGGAGCGGAGAAGTGCTGCGAGCAGGTAAGAAAAAAGGGCCATGGTCACAAGCTTGTGCGACGACCTGAAGGGGGCAAAGGCGAAGACCCAGAGGGGAGGGCAGGCAAACTGAAGCCCCTGACTGAAAAGCAAGTTTGGGCATAGTCTGGTGACAGAGACACCGCACGCGGAACAAGCCAAATAAGCAACTGGCGACTAAGAGACAAGCGCACCGGCAAATACCCACGATTGCGCACTGCCTGATTGGAGGCAAGGTTCAGTCCGCGCAGACATAAAGGGCTGCACATCATAGTAAGCGCCAGACGCAGAGCGCATGCAGAAAAATGGGAGACCGGCAGGGGGCAACGCACAAGCAGAGAACCTGGACGGACCTACAGAACGCCTGGCCCCATGTGCGAAAGAGAAGCACAATTGAAGAGGAAGCCTGAACGCATGAACAGGCACTGCGCAGAGCAATACGAGAGTTAGCTGGCCTTGCTGTCGGGCACTGGGAACATGCCGGGACACGCCTGAAACCTACGATCGAACCAGGTAATCAGAGCATCCTGCTCCTTCGGAAGAAGGATACCTCAGTACAGCAGGCTCGGCAGTGGAACCGCACATCTTCGCCCTGCGTCAGCGATGCCCACATATCTGGCGCGCTGGTTGCCGAAAGGGAACGCACTCGAGGCAATGAAACCTGCCACTACTTGCCAGCGAAACAGGCCAAGATCTCCCATGACATGACTTGCGACTGGGAGGCTGCACGATTTAGATGCACTCTCACCGGAATCCCGCTGACGCTGCAGAACATGAGTACGGCAGGTTCGTGTCGTGCCGACCCCAGCGTTGGATTTTGACACCGCAGGGATCGTTCGACCTTGAACGATCGGCCGCTGCCGCAACGTCCGATCGTTCAACATCGATCGATTCTGGGTCGCCGGCGGCGTTCAACCTTGAACGCCCGCGCTGGGGTCGCCGCTGGTCGACACGACGCAAACCTACCGTATGCTGAGCATCGCGCTTGGAGAGTGGAGGACTCTCGTGACCTGGAGGCGCACCGACTTGCACGGTGCTCTCGTAAGAGTCCTGCACGCCTGGCCCGAACATGTTTTCCGCTGTTTGCCGCGGCATGAGGGTCACTCCCTGTGCCGCATCGGAGGCGCCGATGCGCCCATGCGTTGTCTCCCTCGGCCAGTTCCCGATGGGCTTCTCCACTGGCGCACTGGCTCCCTGGCAGCCTACCGCGGAGGCCAGTCCACAAGAAATCTTCCACAAGAAACCCAACCCTGAGACCCCAGGACGTCCATCGACTGTGGCGCGGGAGCGCCGCGCGCTCCCTGGCAAAACCATCGCAACCCAAGAAACCCAGGGCACACTGGAGGCAAGTAGGATGTTTCTTGACATGGGTCTCCATTGCATGGTCGGCAGGAGCGGGTGCCGCCCGCGTCTGCGAAGAACGGACGGGCCGCGCATCGGCGTACTGGCTGCTGGACGGAACCAGCCTTGAGAGCGCGATTGTCATTTCAACCCACACTCTTTCGTCGGCGGCGCGGCAGGATGGCCGCCCCAGCGATGGGGCTAAACGGGGGCACCGAAAAGCGGATTGGCCAGGGCTTCACCCTACACACGCGGGAATATCTTGAGCTCGATCGGAGAGGGCCCATCGGGACAAGCGCAAGAGGAGGGACGGGGCCGAAAGAACTGCCGAAGCGTCTCGTCAGGACTACCCTGCTGGATGCCCGAACTGTCATCGCTGAGAACAGCAGGAGCACGACGCTTTGGCAGCCCTCCCCACTGGGAGAGCGAGGGCTCAACTGTGGAGGCGGCAGGGGGCCTTCCCTCGAGACGGGCGCGGGAACGGCACCTTCCACGACACGCTGGCTCTCGCTGGCGTCACTAGCGTCACGGGCATGACTGGTCCTGGACGAAGCCACACGTCGCCGTGTATTGAGACGCGAGTTCCGCGCTAGCGGCCTTGGCAGTGCAGCCCACGAAATCCCCCGGTGGAAGTGGAGGCATTGGTGGGGAAAACAACAGGACCTGCACGACGAGCTTGACCGCGCTCGTCGAGCGGAAGTGGACGGAACGCCAGGATGCCAAGTCCCTGCGCACCCAGACCTGGACCGTCGGCATGACAACCAACAGCGGGTGGGGCGGGCAGCGGCGGGTGACTCGGGGGCACGCAAACATGGATTAGCGATCCATGGATTTGGCGCACCTCCCCAAAATGCGGCCAGTGCCGCCTCGCTCGGCGGCGGGCATCCGCGATTTCCCATGGAAATGGGACCCGTCGCTGATCCACGCCCCCTTGATCCATTTTCGCGATCGCCCGAAGGAGTTGGGGGAAGCAGAAATGAACAAGAACGGCATAAGCACAAACTTGTGGCGCTCCGCGCGGATGTCCCGGATCTGCGCCGCACCCCCCTCCCTGGCGCGCGGAGCGCGCTGGGAAGCGGCGCCGCCGGCGCCGCCAGGGGGGGCCCGACCGCCGATCCAAGGCATCCGCGCGGAGCGCCAAGAGCGTATGTGCATGTCATTTGTGTCGTCCTCTCCCCTCCTGCTGCACGGCGGATGATTTCGCCAGACGCGCCCCGTTTCGCTTGACTCGCCAGCGCAGTCCCTCTGCCTGGCCGCCGCCGCAAAGAGTGCACGTCGTTGCGTCGGTCTCCTCGTCGGCAGCAGGCGGGGCGGGCGGCGGCGGATGACGCGGGGGAGGAGACGGTGAAGACGGCCAGGCGCGTGGCCCGCGAGCGCTGGGAGGCTCGCATCAGGGAGCTGGCCAAGGACGGACAGTTCACGCCAGGAGCTCTGGAGACCGAATCAGGACCTCTCTCTATTCCCTTGTTCCTACCTCCCCCTGCACGTCGGCGCGCCGAGGCAGTGACACGTTTGGCACCCTCGAGCACGACGTATCGTTCACACACCTGCCTGCCCTTTTTCCCCACCCTCGGAGATCGGACATCCGCATGACAGCTTTAGCTGCGAGAGAATGTGGAGGTACTAACTTTGAGCATAGGCCTACGTATAGATCTATATTGGCGGGTAGCTCCCGCACACTTGTTTCTGGAGATACTATTGTTGCTCCTGGAGAAGCGCACTTGCTTCTGAAGATACTGTTGTGACTTCTGAAAGACGCTGAACGGGCTTCTGAAGAAACTGCGCGTGTTTTCAGGTTTTGCTCAGGTGACGGGCTCGAGTCTGCTAAGATTTAAGATCCGCGGGGAAAAAACGAGCCCCCCAGATCAGACTCGTCCCCTGTCTACTTCATATCCCTTTCTGTCTGCATGTATATCTCCCCTGTCTCTCCGTGGCTGACAGCCGGCCTGAGGCATTTTCGGCTGTGAGTTGCGAGAGCTCGACCGATAAAGGTGTTTCTCTCTCATCGCTGCCGCGATCGCCGATGAGGGCCCGCCGAGTCACAGCAGACCTGGAACCCCCGCACAGGACCCCCGTCGTGATACGCACGATCTGCAAGTGGAAACTGTGTACATTAGAAGAGAAGGTGGCGGATGAGCCGGAGGGTGAACCGGAGCAAGGAGGACAATGAGGAACTGCAGCTGCAGGAGCAGAAGGAGCGGAAGGAGCAGAAGTACCAGGGCAGGGGGAGAGAGAGAGAGAGAGAGGGGAGCGGGGAAGGGAGGGAGGAAAGGGGCGGCGAGGGGAGGGGAGGGGAGGGGGGATGGAGGCAGCGAGCAGGGAGGGGAGGGGAGGGAATTACTGAACGAACCCCTTCTCGGACGAGTGATGTCATGATACAGTCGGCTCAAGACACGTTCCAGGTCCTCCTGCTCCTCTGACCTCGCCACTCGAGTCCAAACCAACAACGAAGTACGAGGACCTTAGCTCGGCTCGAACCTCAGGAAGGGAGGGAGGGAGGGGAGTGCTATGGGAATGCTATGAGAGCGGACCACTGTCCTACAATTCAAACCAATTTACCCGCCTGTGGGGTTAGTCTGAACTGTCTGGATCCCCTCCTCCCACCGCCCCAGCAAAATTGGGCGGCTCCCGTCGTAGAGGAGGGAGGGAGGGGAGGCAGCGAAGGCGGGGGAGGGAAGGAGGCGCCGCGGCAGCCGAGGCGCTCGGTGCTCGGCCGGGCCGCGCGACCCCGGAAGCCGCGACGAGGTCGAGCTGAGCAGCAGTGGGCACAAAGTGGGGCTACGCACTGGGACGAGGGACGAGGACGAGGGACGAGGACGAGGAGGAGGAGAAGGAGGAGCAGGAGGAGGGAGGACGAGGACGAGGACGAGGAGGAGGAGGAGGAGGAGGCACTGGGGCGGCTGACGCCACGCAGCGCGACTGCCTGGCCGCTGCTGACTGGAGCCAGCCGGCAGAGGGCGGCACACACAGCCATCCACAGCGCCACCAGTGTACGGACGAGGTCAGAAAGCAACCCACGGAAGCCTGGTCGTCCCCATGGCGCCCACCAGCGAGCCCAATCACGCGCAAAGCGGACATAGCACATCTCCCTCACATGGCGCTGTTGGGCGCGATTGGTCGCTGGCCGATATACATTCTTAGATCGTCGTTCTGGAGACCTTCCTGGACCCACTCGCTCCACCGATGCTGCGTCGATGCTGCGTCGAACGTCCGCCGACCGGAGTCGAACTTCGAAGCCGAGCCTAACTTGAGCCGAACCAGGGTCGACCAGATCCCCTGGGCGGCCCCCAGGAAGGTCCACGGAACGAGCAGCCAAACATGGAATCCGAGACGAGCGGAATCTTCCGCGATTTACAACTCCTCCTCCTTCCTCCCTCCTCCTCCTCCTCCTCTCCTTCTCCTCCTCCTCCTCCTCTCCTCCTCCTCCTCCTCCTCCTCCTCCTCCTCCTCCTCCTCCTCCTCCTCTCCTCCTCCTCCTCCTCCTCCTCCTCCTCCTCCTCCTCCTCCTCCTCCTCCTCCTCCTCCTCCTCCTCCTCCTCCTCCTGCTCCTCTTCCTCCTCCCCTCCAGGCCCCGCCCGGCGAGGAGGCCCCAGCGCGTTCCCCGGCCGTCGCCAGCAACAGCCAGGGGCAGCAGAGGACGGGCCTGGCAAAATCCCACCGCGGCAAGACCTGGACCACCTCTCGGGGTACATCCTGCATGCCCCTGCGCTCGGCTGGACGCGGGGGGAGGGGAGGGGGCGAGGCAAGCGAGCTGCGAGGGCACGAGGGGATGGAGGGGGGCAAGTCTTCTTGGAGGGAGGCTGCTTCTCAGAGGCCCTCCCCCCTCCCCCATACCCCCTGGCGCGCGCCGCCAACCGCCCCGGCGGCGAGCGGCGAGGGCACAGGGAGGGTGTGGAGGGAGGGGGCCAGGCTTCTTGGAGGCAGGCTGAAAGTCGCCCAGAAGCCCTCCCCCCTCCCCCCACCCCCCGAGGGCAGAAGAGGAGAAGGGGGGTAGGGGGGAGGGAAGCTGGTTCTTAGAAACCCTCCCCCCTCCCCCCACGCCCCCGCGCGCGCCGCCCATCACCCGCGCGGCGAGGGCACAGGGGGCGCGAGAAGCGCGAGGGCGAGCGCCGCCCCGGGAGCAGGGGCGGGGCAGAGCCGGGGACCGCGCACGAGGCGCCCGGCGCGCGGCGCCGGGCGCCTCAGGGCTGCGGCGCGGGAGGACGTGCGAGCACGCGAGGTCCTTCTCGGAGGCGTGCGTGCGGCCGAGCCATACACGGCGAGGGCATTGGATGAGGGACCGCTGGATCACGGATCCAGGGTCCGGAAGCTGGAGGAGCTCCAATCGTGGATTGGCCATGGTTGCGACCGCCGCCCTCATCCGAAAAGGAATCCCCCCGGGTCTGAAGCCTCCTGGGCACATTCCTAAACGAACGCCCCCACCGTAGTACAATCATCTCGTAGAGCATCGGATCCCGACCGGTATGGCCAGAAAGCGCCCACGCAGCTAGTACTCAAGGACTTCCAGACGTGCGCGTCGCCCTCGCGTGACCGACGCACGTGGAGTAAAGTATGCTTCGCTGGTGCCGAAGGACGGCGGTCAGACCCGCAGGCGGCACGACAGGATCGCGACGACGCGGTCAGAGCGAACCGACCAGTCGGCGGTGGACAAACCTCCCTTTAGTAAACCTCCCCTTGGTGAAAACGGCCTGGGACTGAAACCGACGCACCTGGACCCGCAAAAATGACGGCCGCGACGCCCTCTCGCGAACCGAAAACGGCCAATTCCTTAATCGACGTGTCAGGGTAGGAGGTCTGTCCACCCCCGAACCAGACAGGGAGCAGGCACGCGCGGCAGCGAGTGACCGGGCCAACCTCGGGGGCCGACAGGGTGGACGCCAGAGGCGGCGCGCGGGCGTCAAGACCGCCACGGACGCCAAAGCTTCGGGCGGCAGGGCAGTGACCCCCACGCGGACAGGCAGAAGGGCGTCCGTGGAGCGGCCTTGCTGTGAGCGAGAAGACATCGGCCCCAGCTCGCCTGCACGCGAGAGTGACCCAGGAGTGGCCTCCGGCGCGGGGCTTGAGAGGGCCGCCCGCGGGGGGGGGGGCCAGGTCCACGCGCGCCGGCCACTGCCGGGGGAGACCCCGGGGGCCCGCACCAGAAAGGTCGCTCTCGCCATGGGCCGCTCGTCGGCGACCAAAGGCGCCTCCTCGGGGTGCCATCGCAGGGCGCCGCGGGAAGACGGGCACGGTCGGACCTGGGACAGGAGACCCTGAAGAGCATGAGACCCTCCGCCGGCCAGAGCACCCCAGCCCCAGACCACGAGACATCACTCGTGGGTACCCTACCCCACCGGGATGCGCAAGAGCATCCGAACGAACAGGAAGAACACCAGGGCACCCTCCCCGCACCGACCTCGACCCTCGCCCTCGGTCCGACCGTGCCTGGGGAACTGCGCCAGGCAGGCAGTCCCGACACTGGGCGGTCACGCCCAGCACCGCGGCGGCCATGCCGGCCGACGCCGGGCGAGCCGCCCCGACAAGAAGAAGAGTCCGCGGGCACAGCGGCCGGGAGCACAAAGTAGCAATCTCCGCCGCGCGGCGCCCTCCGGCGAGGAAGCCGGCGTGTGTCCGCGCCGCCAGAGTCCCGCCTCGCTCCCAGCCGCTTCGCCCCGACCCGCTTCGCCCGAGACCTGCGTCGCCAAAAATCCGCTTCGCCAGCGGGCCGCCGCGCTGCCGCCCTCGTCCCCGTCGTCGCCCTCGTCCCCGTCGTCGTCGCCCTCGTCCCAGACGTCGCCCTCGTGCCCGTCCCTGTCGTCGTCGTCGTCGTCGTCGTCGTCGTCGTCGTCGTCGTCGTCGTCGTCGTCGTCGTCGTCGTCGTCGTCGTCGTCGTCGTCGTCGTCGCAGGCGGTCCGCAGGCCCCTGCCGCTTCTCGCTGCACCTCGTCACCGTCCCAGGTGCCGCTCCTCCTCGCTCCCACCCGCGGCTCCCGCCTCGCTCCCCTCCCACGCCTCCCTCTCCCCCACACCCTCCCGCTCCCCACGGCCGCCCCCCTCTCCCTCGCGTCCTTGTCCTTCTGCCCCCTCCCCCTCTCCTCGAGAGCGCTCCCCCCCCCCCCCCTAGTGGGTCGCCACCCCCCCTCTTGGCCGCCCCCGACTCCTCGAGCCAGAGGCGGGAGGGGAGGAGGCGAGGGCGAGGACAGGCGCAAGGGCAGGATCGGCTTCTTCGCCCCGCGCCGCACGCGCGGCCTCCGGGAGCGAGCGGAGCCCACCGCAACCGATCAAAAAAAGGGCGCGGCGCCCCGGCTGCCGCGCCCGGCCAGGCCGTCGCGAGCCTCGGCCGGAGGCAGTGGCTCAGGGTGCACCCTGGGAGCGTGCTTTCGCAATGCACGGGTGCGACGGACAGGCAGGTGGACAAGACAACCACACATCCAGAAAGGCCGAGGGGAACCGGAGCTGAGACCGAGAGGGGGAGAGAGAGAGAGAGAGAGCTAGAAAGGCAGAGACAGGGGAGAGAGAGAGAGAGAATGCGAGAGTTGAAAGTTGAGTCAATATACACAGGTTGGGATCGATAGGCAAAGAAAACGAAACTATGGGGGAGAGAAAGAGAGCGGGAAGGAGAGAGAGAGAGAGGGAGAAAGAGAGATAGAGACATATAGAAAGAGAGCGCAAGAGGGAGGCCGACATCTTTACTTGTGTACATATATATATATTATATATATGTATGACATTATATACATATATATATATATGATATGTATATGTATATATGTATATATTGTGTATATCTAATATATATATATGTATATATATATATATATATATATATATATATATATATAGCTGCACTTGTACACTGGGTACCTGCACACATGGAAAAAATTGCCTTGATCTCGGGTGCGCTGGCCGGGCTGCGTCCAGAGCGCCCCTGGAGGGCCCCAAGACTGCCCCAGAGTGCCCAAAGAGGGCCCCAAGACGAGTCAAGAGGGCTCCAAGAGACCTTTCAGACGATCGACGAGGGCCCCGAGCAGATGGCTCAAGAGGCCTCCAAGACGCCCCAAGAGGCCTTCAAGTGCCCTCCCAAGAGAGCTCCGGGAGCCAAAATTCGCCCCATCACCTTAGGAAAACAAGCATGTTTAGAATATGCTACTTTTCGGCCTTCACGACGTCAAAAACGGCCCCAAAGGGGCCTCCCAGACAGCCCAGGAGGCCCCCAAGAGGGCCCCAAGACGGCCCCGACACGCTCCCAGAGAGCGGCAAGGCGGCCCCAAAGACACGCAAGACGACCCAGAAGGGCCCTCAGAGGGCCCTCGGAGAATCGAGACTTCGAGCCCTCAGCCCCAAAGGGGCCCCCGAGACCACTAGCAGGCCCCCAAGAGGCCCCAAGACAGGAGGCCCCCAAGAGGCCCACAAAGAGGCCCCAAGAGGCCTCCTGGCAGGCCCCAGTAGATCCGACCTCAAAATTCACAAGCGACCGCGCGACATATCCGTCGAAACCCGACCATATACCGAACCGAGGAACACATTAGGATGGCGACGGTCAGAAAGTCTACATGTATGTGTGTATGTATGTATGAATGATTGACTGAATGTATGAATGCATGAATGCATGAATGCATGAATGTATGAATTCATGAATGCATGAAAGTATATATGTGTGTATGTATGTAGGTAGGTAGATAGGTAAGTGGTGTATGTGGATGTGGATGAAGATGTGGATGTGAATGTGTACATATGTATGTATGCGTGTATGTATGTGTGAATGTATGTACACACGTACACACGTACGTAAATATGGGTAAACTCAATGGATGGATGCGTGTATGTTTGTATGTATGTGTGTAGGGATGCATGTACGCACGTATGTATGAATGTATGTATGTACGCATGTATGTGTGAATGTTCCTGAGTATCTATGGATGTATGCAAATGTGCACGATGTTACGTATATGTATACGTATGCATGTATGTATGTATGTATGTATGTATGTGTGTACGTATGCGCGTCTTGCTAATGCACGTATGGTTGTTCGTATGTATGCAGACATGTGAGCGCGTATGCATGTGTGTATGTATGTGTGTATGTCTGCATGTATGTATGTATGTAAGTATGTGTGTCTGTGTGTATGTATGTACGAGCGTGCGTGCGTGCATGCGTATGCATGTATGTATGTATGCATGCATGTATGTATGTGCGTATGCATGTACGTGTGCATGGATGCATGTGTGTGGATGTATTCATGTTTGCATGTCTGTATATATGTGTGTATGTGTCTGTGTGTGCTTGTACGTGTGTATGTATGTATGTATGCGTATGGATGCGTTTATGTGTGTATGCATGTATGTGCGTATGTAAGTATGCATGTGTGAATGTATGCATGTGTGTATGTAAATGTATGTGGGTATGTGTTTGTGTGTATGTATGTACACATGCATGTGTGTATGTATGTGTATGTGTGTGGGTATGTATGTGTGTACGCACTCGTGTACGCATGTATGTGTATATGTGTGTGTGCGTGCATGTATGTATTGCATGCGTGTAAGTATGTGTGAATGTGTGTATGTATGGATGCATGTACGTATGCATGTATGTGTGTATGTGTGTATGTATGTATGTGTGTACATTATGTATGCACGTGCGTGATAATGTATGTATGTAAGCATGCACGTAGGGACGTATGTCTGTATGCGTGTACATGCATACATTCGTACGCATCAACC